GGACTGGATGCTGCTGCCGGAGTTGCCATCTATGCAGGACCGGGCGCCATAGATGACTGAGACCGGGATGTCAGCGTGCATTTTACCGATTCGCAGGAGCATTGGCCTTTTTGCCCATCCGTAAGGAATCGTCATATTTTTGAAAGCTGTTTCACCACTTGAGGGGACAGGAGGAAATCACATGTATGATTTTTGGAAGAGCATGTTGTATCAACAGCACTCTTTTCTCTGTCCAAACATCCACATTTAGCATCTCCCTCATTTCAGGACAATCTCAGTTTAAATAGAAAAGAATCTATGAGGAAAGAATCAAGGAACAGAACCCCCCAGGAGACCGAACACTGCTAGATAACAGGCTGCTCTGCACTGCTGGGATTTGAAAAAGGTTTCTTCCTCTCAACCGAAACATGCAATCCTGATTCCCTACCCGGGTGTCTCTGGGTGGCGCCCACACTGAAGCACTGGATGACTGGCTGGAAGGGGGTTTCCAAGACAGGCCGGACAATTTGATCTTGAAAGGCCACGGGCTTGACACCCGCTCCGCATCCCGAGCAGTCTGGCTCTGCAGAGGGGAGCAGTCTGGCTCTGCAGAGGGGAGCAGTCTGGCTCTGCAGAGGGGAGCAGTCTGGCTCTGCAGAGGGGCTCACCGGGAGTTGTCACCGACTGCATGGTGACTAACAATTCTTCCCCGTCAGCTGAAGAGATACTATTTTTCATTCTGCCTTCTCTCAAACTGAACAGAGAAGGGAACTTTTCCAGTGGTTCACAGTATTGGTTTTTTCCTCTGCAATAGCAAAGCCATTATCAAGTTAAGAAGAAACTTTTATGGTATATATTTGTAACAGGCTGCGACCGGCTGTCTGCTGTCATTTCTGCTATTCTGGAAGAAGTAGGACACAATTACACATTGCCATGCAGGAAGAACACATGTATGTGCCAACGTAAAGGCGGCGTCAAACTCAGGCTTGACGGCACACGTGACCTTGGCACAAGTGTAGAAGAAGAGTAAAACCCCATAGGGGGAGGGGGAGGGGGGAGGCGGGAATGATGCTTCTGGGACAGTGGAACCCCTGGGAACTGTTAGAACAACTGTCGATGAAACTCAGATTCACCAGATCCAACTCCCTAGGCGATCACCAAACTGCCAGTGGCTCTCACTCGAGGACCTACTTCTTATGCCCCTCACTCTTGGCAGAGAACCTCTAACCAATTTTACCAGACAACTACGAGCTACACCTCCTCACGTACCACGGTCTGACTTTAAATAAAGCAGATATGCACATTGTCTAGGGAGAGAGGGGCGGGGGGAGAGATAGAAAGGAGGGCAACTTGCTCTGCATCTCAATGTTCAGCTTCTAACCCAAGTCCCAGTCCTGGAGATGAGGTGCCACTGCTAGGTTTATAAAGTATGGTTCAGACCCATTTCCCCCAGAATCATCTGAAGCCCTGCTGCTGAACCGGAATCTCTGAATAAGGGCTCAGGAACTGCAAATTGGACAAGCCCCACCCTGTATTGCAGGGCGCCCCCAAGCCTGGGAGCCCTCACCCTTCCGGATGGTCTCCTGTGCAATGGCAGCTCCTCCTCCTTGCTCCCCATGTTCTTCTGGCTCTTTTGGCTGCCTCCTGGTGCGCACACGCCTTTGTGTGCGCATGTATGCTCTATACACATACGTATATGTGCTCACACACACGTTGATACATATATACATTTTATAAATGCACATGTATTGATGTATCTATGTGCATATATTTCTAAAATGAAGGGGCTTCGAAAAGTTTGTGGTAAAACTGCACTTTTTTGTGGACTTTTTGAAGCCCCCTCGTGTGGGTACGTGTGTTTTTAAAAAGAAGTATTGCCTTTGGTTGGCTCTCTTGGTCCCTCTGGCTACCTTCTTCATCTCTCTTATCAAGGTATACACAGAATTCCTTCCACTCCTCTCCCTCCACCAAGCCTGCTCGTTCCCCAGCCATGTGGCCTTGCTGTAAGGCATGAAGAGTTCCTCGGGGCACGGACAACTAGGGATCTGTTTGGGCTGGCAGCTCTTCTTTTGGTCTAATACTCACACTCGGTTTGGGAAATGTTGCCTTTGTGTGAAATTCTGTATCCCTCAACTCCGATCACCCTGCAGAGAAAGCCAAGACCACTGCTTCCTCAACATCAGGGTTTGAGAGACTGTCTCACATCAGCACCCAGCACCGTGTTCTGCACAGTAGGTGTGTCTTGAATGGATGAGTGTATGAACTCCGGGACCCGTCTTTTTATAATAAATCAGTTAATGATAAAAGACTCTGGATGACTTGGATATGTTTCAGAAAGTCTAAAAGCCACACGTCAATTCAGAATCGCAGAATCTCACCTTGGAGTCTGGACATTGCAGTGGTAGATGTACTCGGTCACAGTTTCATCTTCAAACATGGATAAATACTTCCTCTTGAAATCGGGTCTTAAACGTTGCACTAAACTTAAGCCTATGTAATATGAAACAAAAATATTCATGTTTCAAGTTAGAGTTAACATTCAACCTAGTTAGTGCTTACGTGCATGCTTATACACGCCTGTCCCTCATGCACCAACTCTCTGGCTATCCAACATTTCACGTGTATGAGTCGTAGGACATCTGCATTGACAGTAGGATGACATTGCGAACGACCCTGGTCTGTCAGTAACAAACACCAAGGTTTAAGGTGGGAGTCATGCTGGCTGTGAAGGTGCTGGCAGTTGGGCAAGTACAGGGCCCTTTTCTACGATGTGACCCAGTCCTCCTCTCTCTCACTCCCTGCCTTTGGCTGCATGGCAACCTGGTCTTTGCAACCGCACCATGCCGACCAAAGCAGAGTGGGTGTACACTTATTCCAATACCTTTGGGGTGGGGAAAAGCACAGGTCCTAAAAGCTGCTCTCCCCGAGCTGCCTACAGGAAAGCTCAGAGTACGAATGACAGGATGTCGTATATATACGGATTTACAAGATGTGCTCAAAATCGTGGACATAAACTCTGAACCCTGTTTTGGGGGAAAGGTTCTAGCCAAGGCAGGTGAGTAGAGCAGCTCACACACAAAAGGGACTGTTGGTCTGTGCTCCTCTGTCGTCACAGGCACCAGCACCAAAGGAGAGGGGACGGGGGTCTGTCATGCTTCCTGGGAAAAGAAGTCCCGAGGCTCTGTTTGAGACACTAGCACCACCCCCTGCTAAGGTGGCTCCCAGGCCCCCCACCCTGAAGGGAGAGGCATGGGCAAGGCTCCAAAGGAAGAGAGGCTGCGGTTTGGCCAGGGACCAACCATCCACACATTCCTCTCAAGAGGCTTCCTGTTTGTCCCAGTCCTATCTTTCTGTCTCCAAAGAAACTACAAAGCCCCAACAAGCAGTTTGATGATACACCAATATTCGGCACCACCCACCACCCCAGTTCAGCAGTATGGGGAGACAGAGGATGTGGCTTTTAAATGTCTCCCCCAGGCATTCTCCCTTCTCTGGCACTACCCCTCACTGCTTTTCATGGATTTCTTTTCCGCAGCTGCTCTCTGGGATCCACTAAAATCCACTTCCATTTCAGGGCTAGAGGGTCTAGGGAATCTCTTAAGTAGCTCATCCAGAAGACCAGCCCAAGCCTGGAAGCAGGAAGGGCTCAGCCCGGGAAGGTGGAGGCGGCTGGGGGGAAGATCCCGTGTACAAGAGCGCTGAGGAAGAGTGATGGCCTATTCTGCTCCTGCTTCTCCCTGTCGCTACACTCCCTGGCACAAGGGCATGCAGGCAAGGAGGCAGAGGGGAGCAGAATCTACAGGTATCTTCTACGCTCCCACCTCCTTGCCCCACGTGCCTCTCTCTCTCTCTCTGTCTCTCTGTCTCTCTCTGTCTCCTCGCTAATGGATCCTGAGGTTAGAACAGCGCCAGTTAGGCAGAAAGTGCCCAGGAGAGAAGGCCCCTCCCTCACACTCCGAGGATGAGTGCTGACTGGCCACAGAAACGAGTTCTCCTTTGGTGGAGAAGGACCGCGGGTGGGTAGGTGTGAGGGATGTCTGTGGGAGCCTTCTGGGGGAGATTTTCTTCACCGAGAAAAGAAAGCACTGTGGAGAGAAGGCTGCTTGACACGCTTTATGTTCTTGCTATTTTGTGAGATGCTGCTTCGTGCCACCTTAAGACGACCTTCAAGTCCTCTCCAGCCCCCAGGAGAAAGGCTGAGTCACCTAAAAACAGGGTTATTTCCTGGCACTGAGGAACCAGCTATTAGAACAAACAAGCACTGAGACCGCCTCTCCCCAGGCTCTCGAGGAAATAAAAAGACATTAAGGCAGTGGTTCTCCACCTTCCTAACGCCATGACCCTTTCAGACAGTTCCTCATGTGGTGGTGACTCCCAACCATAACAGTATTTTCATTGCTACTTCATCATTGTCATTTTGCTACTGTGATGAATTGGGCGACCCCTGTGAAAGGGTCGCTTGACACCCAAAGGGGTCGTGACCCACAGGTTGAGAACCGCTGCTCTGCGGTCTAAGCCACTGGAAGTCAGGTATTCAATTACTGGCCGGTGAAAGCATTCCTAACTGATCCACATCAGAAGGGGAGAGGTAGGTCTGAGCACCACCATCGGTGACAACGAGGTACACAGATACCCCCAGTTGGAGGACCGAGGCTGGGAGACAATGAACTGAAAGCAGAAACGAACCACTATCCAGTCAGGAGCCCCCAGTTTCTGAGGGCTTCCTCACATTCTGAGATTCGGCTAAGGGCCTGATGAGTGGCGATGCCTGCTGCCTCACAGTCAAGTCACGTGTTGAGTCACCGGCTGGACACAATCATTGGGCCACGTGCACTGAACGCTCACCAACACGTTACCCAGCTACCTGTCTTCTCCCGAGGGGCACCCTGCTTGCTTCTTCAAGGATGACCCTCCCTTCCCAATTACTAGTTTTCTTTGTAATACAAAGATTCCTCTGTGAGGAGAAACGGCTGTTGTATGGATTTTCAGGCCTGCTGGAGGAACAGAAAGAGCTCTTTCTGATACATTAATGAGTGTCCCTGGATTTGTTTCTCCAGTCAACCTGGCTTTTAGGGCTCTGAGAAGCAAAAGTGGCATCAGTACCCAGCCCTCTGCTATCATCTCTACTGTCCTGCTGCCCCGAGGTGCAAGCACTCACCAAAGGGTCCTGCGATTCTGAGGCCAGCTAAAGGGTTAAAAGGAGTCAGCGCAGCGCCCAAGGCTCTGATCCACACCGGGATGGGTCTGTCTTGGTCAGCAAGGTCAGGTCTCTCAGGAAAACCCCAAGGCTCCACTAAAATGAGATGATTAACCCTGGTGGGAAAAGAACACATCTAAGTCCATCTAGCAAACTCAGCTGAAGGTGACAACTGACAGCATTTATAATGCGAGGTAGAAGGAAACCGTTTTTAAAACTTGCAAATTAAAGAGAAGTCTCAGGGCTGAACAGGTGCTACGTTCTTTTTTCATATATTGAGATTTCATGAGTTTTATGAGAAGTATGGTGGGAAGAGGTTTTCATTTTAATATATGTAAACCTGGACAATAACAATAAAGAGATGCTTAAAAGGGCATGTGATGACTGTCCTTGCGAAACAGGTGAGAGGGTGTTTGTTGTATCTAAGCTACACTCTGGTAGATGATACCATTCACTGACTGTGGTAGCTACATAATCTTGTATCAACTTGAGACTATTAAGAGTGAAGGGGTGGAGTCTAGCCTGTCAATCAGGTCACAGCCTGATCAGTGGCTCCTTGTGGGCGTGGCCTTCTCATGAGGATTCTGGGAACTTCCTCTTTGTCGATTCCGCCATCAGAAGAGGTGGGCCTCTCTCTCTGCCTTCGTGTTCCTGTTGACAAGCCATGTGGAACCCTGTTGAGGAGACACTCGGGAGCTGGAGGAGCCACGTGGAGAAGCTTCCACCACCACTGGATCCACAAGACTTTTCACCCACCAGCCTGTGATCTTCCTGCATCTGGCAGCATTGCGAGTAATTACGTGAGTCTGAAGAGGAATTTATGAACTAGTATTGGGCATATGGGCTAATATTGGACTTATAAACTTGATCTGGACTGAAGTGGGATGTTTTCTTAAAATACAATTGTTCTTTGATATCAAACTCTTTCTTATACATACATGAATATCCCTGGATTTGTTTCTCTAGTCAACCTGGCCTAACATACTGACTATTCAGAAAAGTCCAAAGGCATCTCGAGGCTGACACGGCAGAAATACGTGAAGGTTAGTATCATACTCTTCTGTATAAAGAAGCCTCAGACACCAATGATAGTCATCTCCGATGAGTCAACCAGTCTTGAAATCTAAGGGCAGTTAGGGGTTTGGGTGGATTCTAAAGGGCTCTACGTGAACTTTTCGCAAGCGCGAGAGAAACGGGCTGAAAAGAAAACATGATAACCCTAGTACTGGAATTCTGAAACTTCGTGGACAGAAATACATCTCCCGTCACTATTGGAAAGGACCGCATGCTTGGCAAAGTAGAAGGGCAGCCCCCCCAAAGGGTGACCTTCAACAAGAGGGACTGGTTGGCACAGTGGCTGCAACAGTGGGCTCAGACATAATGGTAAGGATGGCCCAGGGCCGGCACGGTTTTCCTTTTGCTGCCCAGAGGGCTGCTACAAGTCAGAACGGACTGGGCAGCACCCAGCAACCAGAATGAAATCAGGATAGACTGGCCTTCCATTCTGTGCCGCATCCTTTCCAAATGTCCTCCTTAACTAGTCAGAGAGAACATCTTTTCAGTCTAGTTAGCTTACCGTGTGCTTTACAGAACTAATGGTTTTGATGATCCACCGAGTGAAACGCCTTGCTCAGAAGGGAGACCCAGAACTATCGGAAGTGCTTCCCCCTCAACACATCATGGTTTTACACTTCGCAAAACTCCTAACAGAGCAATAGTCAATTGTAACCTAAACAATCCCAGCGTTCGGCAAAGCGCTCCCAGCGATAAAATGGCAATGATTCGACCAAACTCACATGGAAAACCAAATAAACCAGAGTGTGGGCAAGGACGGGATATTATTCTTATGTCAGGTTGGTTTTCATCATTTTCATCGGCACAGAGAAGATGAGTTAGCAAAAATGTTCTTCGACCACATTTCTTCAACAACCCTTCGAGCATAGTCCCGGGGCACTGAGCTCTGAGGGTCTGTGGAGAACATTCCATTTGACCTCTCATTACAGACAAGGAGGCGCTGCCCTATGGCACCCAGGTATCAAAAACAATGTTGCATGTTGCTGATGTTCATTTGTAGATCCAGATTTATAAAGATATTGATAATACAAGGCAGAAGAGATCATGAAAATGAACAGAAAACAAAAGTGGTATTCAGCCTACATCACAACCAACTGATGACAGGGTGAACATAAAGGATTACCTCTCTCTCCCTTTAAGTGGAAGCAGAGACAACCACGTGTACTTGGATTCTTCCGTTACTACAACTACAGTGAGATCTGGGGCAGGGCCAACGAAGCAAGAAACAGTAGAGGCTCATCTTAGGAAATAGCCAGTCTTATTCACTATTGAGGAGTCCTGGTGGTGTAATGGTTAGGTGTGGAGCTGTGAACCACAAGGTCAGCAGTTCGAAACCACCAGCTGCTCTGTGGGAGAAAGACAAGGATTTCTATTCCACTGTAGAGTTAGTCTCAGAAACTCAGGGGAGTTGTGCTGTGCTACAGGTCACTGCGAGTCAGCATGGGGTCTCAGTGGCAGTGGGTTCTTCGTTACTGACCTTCCTAAAGAGAAAATTCTTTAGAATCGCTTTCTTGGCATATACCTCACATGTCATGCAATTTAACTGTTCAATCCTACTAAGATTTGTTCAATCAACACTAAAATTAATTTCAGAACATTTTTTTCTTGTACCCATTTGCCCCCAACATCCATTGCCACGCCCAGAGGCAATTATCAATCCAGTTACTGTCTCTATAGATCTGTCTAGCCCAGATTTCACACACAAAAATCATGTGAAGCAAACAAATAACAAAATACAACAACAGATAAAGAAAATACAGAAAAAACACTCAATGGAAAAGCAGAGAATATTAAAAATGGAATAACTTTAAAATGGGCCAAGAGATCAAATAAGGTATTACATTTTAACCTAACTACATCTGCCATAATTGACTTTATAACGCTGCCTGAGAGAAAGGGTATTCACATTGTTTGACTATGGTCAGAGGGTACTCACTGGAGGCTTAATCCATGTGGGGTGTGGAGACTGTGCAGATGTATTTTGGGGCTTCCACTGCCACCCATAGGCTTCTGAAAACTGGGTGTTCACAATTTAAGCTCTGATGCCATTCCCTCCTTTGGATTTAATTATTTACAATCCTCGGATCACATAGACTGGTGTGCTTCTTCCGTGTGGACTTAGGTGAATGCCTCACTTAGATGGCTGCTTGTTTTAAGACAAGGCTTTATGAGTCCAGATGCTATCCTTTCTGAAAGCTGGGCACCATCTGATTTCTTCACCACACTTTGCTCTATAGCACCCATATCTTCAGTGATCAATTCATGAGGGCAAGCATTGAGCAGAGCCATGCTGAAAATACTGAACCCTTTCTTAAAACATATCCTACCCTGAAAGATGACTAGTATTTTGTTAGAAATTTGTAGACATTTTGGTCCAGTCTGCTCCAGGATCACACAGAACAGCTAATCCAAGCCAGCAGTGGACAAAGGAAAACCAGGGGGAGAGAAAAATCGAATCTCTCTGCTGTTGATTTTCTTTTTCCGCTCATTTTGACCCTTCTTATTTCATACAAATCATAAAAATACTGCCCCTATGTAAAAATGCCAGTTTAAAGAATTAGGCAAAGTATATACACAAGGGCAAATGCCCTCTCCTTTTGTGTGAGAAGTGCACCCCTAATAGTTCACACATGTGTGTGGAGCGCGCGGTGGGCAGGCTAGCACATGGCGGATGCTTGGTAAGCACGTGGTGTGCGTGCTCTCCCATGTTCCCCTCTGGCCCTTATCTGTACAGATATTCAAATCTTATAAAGTGTAATCTAAAAGTAAGTATAAAACTTGGTTCCCTCTGAGGATGCTATTGAACTATACAGCTATTTCTTAGTATATACACGGGGCCTTCCACTCAGGGAGTTGGCCACATTTTGTGTAATAAAAGAGTCTGGTTTGGAATAGGAAAAGTTTGTTACATAACAAATCTGAGTATCGTTCCACAAAACATTTGTTTCAGATGCCCATAGATGTTGGTAGATGTTATTGCTGTTGAGTGCCTGTGTTAGCCCGAGTAGACTCGAAAAACAAATTCATCAACACTCCTATGTGTATAGGAAAGAGCTTTATATACAAGAGCATTTAAATATTGAGAAAACATCCCAACGAAGTCCAGATCAAGTCCATAAATTTGATATTAGCCCATATGTCTGAAACCAATCTATAAAGTCCACACAATACATGCAATGACACCAAATGCAGGAAGATCACATGCCAGTGGGTGGGAAGTTTTGTGAATACAGTGGTGGTGTAAGCATCTCAGCACTGGCAGGGGTCTCCACGTGGCTTCTCCAGCTCTGGGCATTGGTGTAGTTCCATGTGTCTTGTCAGCTACAATGTCTCCCACCTCCAGGGAGGAAATACAGGCATTCTCAGAATCCTCAGGAGAAGGCCATGCCCACACAGAGGCCTCATTGGCTATGACCTGATTGACAGGCTAGCCCCCACCCCTTCACTCTTAATCCTCTCAAATTGACAAACGATTATATAACTACCACAGTGCCACTCGGTCAGCTGTGAATCAGTACCCCTCTGTACAAGGGAACAAAACACTGCTCAGTCCTACCCTGCCTTGAGAATTATGTTTGAGTCCATAGTTGCACCCACCGTGGCAAACCAACTTGTTAGGGGGCGGAGCGGGGTCTTCTGCTTTTTCCTGATCCACTACGTTACCAACCACGATGTCCCTATGTCCTTGTCCAAGGTCTGGCCTCTCTTGAGAATATGTCCAAAGTACGTGAGGCAAAGTCTCACCATTCTCATTGCTAAGGAGCATTCTGACTACACTTTCTCCGATAAAGATTTGTTTGTTCTTTTAGCAATCTATGGTTCTTTCATGGAGCCCTGGTGGTGTAGTAATTACATGTTGGGCTGCAGTCCGCATGGTCAGCAGTTCAACACCACCAGCAGCTCCGCAGGAGAAAGACTGGGCTTTCTACTCCCATAAACAGTTACAGTCTCAGAAACCCACAGAGGGTCGCTGACTTAGTATTGACTCAATGGCAGTGAGTGCGATGGTACTTTCAATAGTATTTGTCAGTAATGTAATTGA